AGGGTGTTATGGACAACAATCAGCGAACGGACAAATAATGAACAGGTTGCAGGCCATCAGATAGCAACTCTTCTGGCTGGTGTCCGTCAATCCCCAAGAAGTCAACCGACGGGTTGCTGCAGCCAGCCTGGCTAATTAGGTCACCGATTGTATGAGCAACTAGGCGATGATGATTAAACAATTAAGCACTTTTTACCTACAAATCAAACGGTAGTCAGGAAAATAGACTTTTGTTGCTTGGGAATCAGGCTTTATATGCTCTCGTTCCTGTAGATCAGTGTCTAATCAGTTAATCATGAGTTCCTATATTGCAAATGAGAGGGTAATTTGACGTCAAGTTAACTGTTGGTCGCGTTCGTATCAGGCGATACACTAAGAGTCAGTAACTCTTAAATTGATGACATGCAGCGTGCAAGGGTTATACTTGGTTGAACACTATGGAGGTCAATCTAGAGAAGGGGTGTACTTTCAGTTTGCAAGAGACGGTCAATCAAAGGTCCATATTGTGACATGCAGCACTTCACGAATGGTTAGTGGGGGACTGACAACCCTTTAGCAATCAAACTGAAGAATGAAAATAAACGAGATCACAGGTGATTGAGTGCACTTGCCTAGTGAACAAGTAATGACCAAGTACTCAGGTATTTATGACTCCTCGAGCAGCGGTATAGTGGAAGAAGGGGAGAGATAGCAGCATGCTAATTGCATATTTAGTTTGCCTTCATGAGTTCCTTTGATCGTGTCTTTGAGGACGAAGTCAAATACTAATCAGGCGTGAGCTTCCTTGGCAGAGCCCCGAGTACAGATTTGCGTTGCACACAGGCGAGTTGTCTAGTCCGAGCAGGAAGGTATTCAAGAAGTGAATGAAACCAATGAAATTGATTTATCAATTTTGGTCTGTGATCAGACGGTGACAGATTACTAAGTAATCCCTGCTTTGGTATCACCGTTGAAATTAGTTTTTTTTTTTATTAATTAATATTTATTCAATTTGAATATGGTCACTGTGTTGTAATGGAGCTCCAGGCAGGCATCCACACATACTTCCACATACTATCTCAGGGAACTTGGAGCTATTGCTTTATTTATTTTCTAGAGTCGTTGCTAGAGGCTTTGATAAAGTGATTACCGCTTGATCACACAGCAACAAACAGTGTGTGGGAACACCTTAAGTGAACACTACCTCTTTCTCACACGCCGTTCCAAGCGTTTTTTAATTTGATTTATGTCTTTTTTCTCAAATCACTGCTGGAAGCAGTGATCAAGCGATTACCGCTTGGCCACACTACTATGGACAACGTGTAAAAACACCGTAGCAGGCAGCGTGTGCAGAGGTCCTAAACGAAGGCTGCGCTCAACGCCGCTTCTTGGGTCAAGCATTTTCGTTATTTTAATATTTTTGTAATTTCAAAATTAATTAATTAATAAAATCTCGTGATTGGGATCACGGCTGATCACCCAATCACGGGACAACCAGCAAGCGGGAGCAACCCTAAGCGAAGGTTGAGCTCGTCGCCACTTGCTGGTCCAAGTAGTCTGAGTATTTTATCATTTCGAAATTAATAAATTAGTAAACTCCCGTGATTGGGATCATGGCTGATCACCCAATCCTGGACAACCAGCAAGCGGGAGTATCCCTAAGTGAAGGCTGAACTTGCCGCCGCTTGCTGGTCCAAGTAGTCTGAGTATTTTCTAATTTTGAAATTAAAAAATCAGTAAACTCCCGTGATTGGGATCATAGTTGATCACCAAATCACGGGACAACCAGCAAGCGGCAAACTAGACTTAGAGTGAGAAGGGCAGAAGTAGGGGTTTCAAACGCTTGAGATACAGGAGGGGTACTGACTCAACTCCTAGGATAGGGCTTTGTAATCTTCAATCGCCTGAGGGCCCCACAATGATGGTTTGAATATGCAGCGGTTTAGCCAATACTGAAGTCAACTCCCAACTGTAGATTATCTGACGACCTTCCCATTTGCAGCAATAGACCCTCTTTACAAAGCTCAATCTTCCTTTTTGTCACACCACTCTTGCCCGCATCCAAAGCCGTTGCCACACAGTTCTGACAAGGCTGCGATTAAGCAACTTACAACCCCTCTGTTTACTCTCATCCATGACACATGCAAATCACAATGACTCGTCGCTCGAGAACTGCAGCAACACAAGCAACACCCCTGCTAGCAAGCAACTCCGAAGTCTCTACAACTTATCTACTGCACCCGCACAACAAATTGAGTAGTATGTTGGCCAAACCGTATCTCGAGATATCATATTATTAGGCCCTAGTATGGAGCCTCGATCAGTGTTATACACCGTTGGCCATAGCCAAATGCAACGGCAATACACGGAGCCGTAACAGCGCTCGATCAATAAAGGCATACCAACCACTAAATGGTTGTGCAGAGTACCCTGTAGCAGTATGTGCACAATCAATGAGCCAACAACAACAGCCTGTGCATCGTCAAGAGATCCAACATCAATTGTCTGTGCATAGTCAAGCGAACCAACTGCAACAACTGTCTGCGCACTCTCAAGCGATCCAACACTCACTGTCAGGGCACAGTCAAGCGATCCAGCAGCAACTGTCTGTGCACAGTCAAGTGATCCAGCAACAACTATCTGTGCACAGTCAAATAGAGTTTGCCCCCTACCCTGTGCAGGTTGTGCTCTATTCTAACTCCAGCACTACGGAGCGAGCGTAGCACATTCAACAGTCGCACTGAACAACCAGCTCCACAACAAAGTTTGATGCAAGCACAACAAGGTCCTAGTTCCTCATAGCAGTCCTCCACTTGCAGCATACAACAGTAAATGCTGCAGTCTGTAAAGCCCAACGCGTGCTCAGCAGCTCAGCCAAGTGCACTGCAAGTGAACTGTCCATACAGAGCGAAGCACAATCTACTCTATAATAGCTTGGTCTGCCAATAGCAAACAAAACAGGCTCTGAGTCCTTGCATTACTTGGCGCTTAGTGGCCCGGCTACGACTACTCAGTTCGTAGCAGCCTACTCATTGACAATGCATCTTGTTGGCGTTAGTAGCAAAAAAACAGAGGGTATAAAGATGTCGACATCATAGACTATTCAGTCTATGTAACCGTTTGAACGCTGTGAACGCGCGTTCGCGTTCAAATGTGCGTTTGAACACGAATTTAAATTCGCGTTTAAAATTGAACGGCGTTCAATTATTTTTTTATTTTTTATTTTTTTTATTTTTTTTTGTTCGGTGCCTAAAAATAACTTGTTTTTCTGATGTTTATTTTATGAGTTCTCTATGATGTTGGTTACATGCGTGTTAATTTTAGAGTCATTTTGCTAATCGAAAAAAAAATGAAATATCGCCAAAGATGGCTGTGTCAAATCGTGTTTGCCCACTCGTTTTTTTACCTTTTCTTTTCTATTTTCAGTAGGTTACCTGATCGAACGTCTGGGACCCCCCTGACCGTTCGGGGTTGTCCGATCGGACAACTGGTCGGACGTCCTCCCCGGTCAGTCTGTCCGAGCCCGAAAAAAAAAAAAAAAAAAAAAAAAAAAAAAAACATCCTCAGAAAACTCTGAAAACAAAGTATGTTATACAGAAAAATAAACTGAACAACTTTTGCCTTGGAATCATACCAAAATTCGTGGCCAATTTTAAAATAAAAAATAAAATAAAATAAAAACCTTTTTTTTCCACTTTTTTTGTGCTTTTAATTGCTAAAAATAAACTCGTCTGGGCCCGGACGTCCGGGACCCCCCTGACTGTCCGCCCAGGATGTCCGGCCAGGACGTCCTGCCATCGAACAACTGGTAGCCTAGATTTTCACTTTATTTGCCCACCTAAAAAGAAATATTATTTTTCTTACACTTTTTTCATGAGTTTTGTATAATGTGAAGTACACTTCTGTAAATTTTTAGGGCATTTAGCTCTGCCAAAAAAAAAAAAAAAATCGCCAAAGATGGCGGTGTCACAAGCGTACTCGCGCACTCACTAATTTCAATTCTCTTTTTGTTTTTTTCTTTTTTATGTTTTCTATTTTTATTTCCAATTTGGTAACGAATTTGGATGTAACACTCAGGCAAATATTGTTTATTATATTTTTCTTCATAACATTTTTTTTTTTTCGGAATCGTTTCAGTGTTTTATTTTATTTTTTTCCGCGGAATTTGACTCCGCGTTCGGGCGCGTTCATTGCACACGTGCATTGCGTTCAGTTTCTAAACGGAAAACCCGCATTCAATGAACACACCATTTCATATTGTGTGTGTGTGTGTGTGCGTGAGAGAGAGAGAGAGAGAGAGAGAGAGAGAGAGAGAGAGAGAGAGAGAGAGAGAGAGAGA